CTTGCATCAGTTGTAGGGAAATTATTGGAGAAGATTCTTAAGGACAGGACTTGTGGAGAAGAATGGACTTATTAGATACGGCCAGCATGGTTTTGTGCAGTGGAGGTCTTGTCTCAAATGTGTTTTTTTTTGAGGAAATGATTGAGGGTAGGGTGTGTTTTGTCTGTGGACTTACTAAAGCTGATCCAGAAGATTAAGTCGCGTGGGATCCATGGTCAGTTGGAAAATTTGGATACAAATTGGCTTGGTCTTAGAGCACAGGGCATTGTGGAGGGCTGTTTTTTTCTAATTGGATGTCTGTGACCAGATTCCACAAGGATCAGTGCTGGGATCTCTGTTGTTTTGTAATATGTATATAAATGATTGGATTAAAATGGTGGTTTGATTAGTAAATTTGCAGATGATGCAAAATTGTTAGAATTGTAGATTGAGAGGGTTGCCAAAGGATACAGCAGATACAGATCAATTGTGAAATTGGGCAGAGAAATAGCAGATCAAGTTTACTCCGGACAAGTGTGAGGGGATGTGTTTTGGGAGGTCAAGTGGAAGAGGAAAGTATATAGTGAATGGCAGGACCCTTAGCATTGATGTACACAGGGATGTTTGGGTGCTGGTCTATAGCTCCATGCAAGTAGCAACACAGATAAAGTGGTAAAGAGGGTGTACAGCATACTTACCTTCATCAATTAGGGCAATAAGTATTAAGGTTGGCAACTCATGTTGAAGCTGTATAAAACTTTAGGCTGCATTTGGTGTATTGTGTACAGTTCTGGTCACCACACTATCAGAAGCATGTGGAGGTTTTGGAGAGGGTGCAAAGGAGGTTTACTAGGATGGTTTCAGAGATAGTAGGAACTGCAGATGCTGGAGATTTGAGATAACAAGGTGTAGAGCTGGATGAACACAGCAGGCCAAGCAGCATCAGAGGAGCAGGAAAGCTAGACCCTTCTTCAGAAATGGGAGAGGGGAAGGGGATTCTGAAAGAAATAGGGAGAGAGGGGGAGGTGGCCAGAAGATGGATAAAGGAGAAGATAGGTAGAGAGGAGACAGACAGGTCAAAGAGGCGGGGTTGGAGCCAGTAAAGGTGAGTGTAGGTGGGGAGTTAGGGACGGGATAGGGCAGTCCAGGAAGGACGGACAGATCAAGTGGGTGGGATGAGGCTATAGGTAGGAGATGGGGGTGGTGTTTGAGGTGGGAGGAAGGACAGGTTAGGGAGGCGGGGACAAGCTGGGCTGGTTTTGGGATGTGGTTGGGGGAGGGGAGATTTTGAAGCTTGTGAAATCCACATTGATACCATTGGGCTGCAGGGTTCCCAAGCAGAATATAAGATGCTGTTCCTGCAACCTTTGGGTGGCATCGTTGTGGCACTGCAGGAGGCCCAGGCTGGACATGTCATCTAAGGAGTGGGAGGGGGAGTTGAAATCGTTCGCGACTGGAAGGTGCAGTTGTTTGTTGCGAACAGAACGCAGGTGTTCCGCAAAGTTGCCCCCAAGCCTCTGCTTGGTTTCCCCAATGTCGAGGAGGCCACATCTGGAACAGCGGATACAGTATACCACATTAACAGATGAGCAGGTGAACGTCTGTTTGATGTGGAAGGTCTTGGGGCCGGAGATGGGGCTGAGGGGGGGAGGTGTAGGGGCAGGTGTAGCACTTCCTGTGGTTGCAGGGAAAAGTGCCGGGTGTGGTGGGGCTGAAGGGGAGTGTGGAGCGGACAAGGGAGTCACGGAGAGAGTCGTCCCTCTGGAAAAGCTAAGGGTGGGGAGGGAAAAATGTCTTTGGTGGGGTTGGATTGCAGATGGCAGAAGTGTCGGAGGATGATGCGTTGGATCCAGAGGTTGGTGGGGTGGTACGTGAGGACGAGGGGGATTCTGTTTTGGTTGTTGTTGCGGGGAGGGGGTGTGAGGGATGTGTTGCGGGAGACACGGTCGAGGGCGTTCTCGACCACTGAGGTGGGGGGGAGGTTGCAGTCCTTGGAAAAAGGAGGGCATCTGAAATGTTCGGGAATGGAATGCCTCATCATGCGAGCGGAGGCGAAGGAGTTGGGAATAGGAGATGGTACTTTTGCAGGAAGGTGGGTGAGAGGCAGTGTATTTTAGATAGCTGTGGGAGTCGGTAGGCTCGAAATGAATATCGGTTTCCAGGTGGTTGCCAGAGATGGAAACAGAGGTCCAGGAAGAAGAGAGGTATCAGAGATGGTCCAGGTGAACTTAAGGTTGGCGTGGAAGATGTTGATGAAGTGGATGAACTGTTCGAGCTCCTCGTGGGAGCACGAGGTGGCGCCGATACAGTCATCGATGTAACGGAGGAAGAGGTGGGGTTTAGGGCCAGTGTAGCTGCGGAAGAGGGATTGTTCCACGTAACCTACAAAGAGGCAGGCATAGCTTGGGCCCATGCGGGTACCCATGGCCACTCATTTTGTCTTGAGGAATTGAAAGAAGTTGTTGAGGGTGAGGACGAGTTCGGCTAAGCGGATGAGGGTGTCAGTGGAGGGGGACTGGTCGGGCCTGCGGGACAGGAAGAAGCGGGGGGCCTGTATAGGTACTGGACGTCCATGGTAAAGATGAGGTGTTGCGGACCGGGGAACCGGAAGTTTTGGAGGAGGTGGAGGGCGTGGGTGGTGTCACGGACGTAGGTGGGGAGTTCCTGGACTAAGGGGGAGAAAATGGAGTCGAGATAGGTGGAGATAAGTTCGGTGGGGCAGGAGCAGGCGGAGACAATGGGTCGACCAGGGCAGTCAGGTCTGTAGATTTTGGGAAGGAGATAGAAACAGGCGGTGCGGGGTTGGGGAGGATGGTGCCTGGATTGCAGTTTATTAGCTATCGGGAGAGGTTGACCAAACTTTGTTTTCGCTAGAGCTTCAGACGCTAAGTTACGACCCTGATAGAAGTATATAAAATTGAGAGGCATGGGTAGGGCGGTTATTCAGATTCTTTCTCCCAGAGTGGAAATGTTAAATAGCCAGGGGCATAGGTTTAAGGTGAGAGGATGAAAATTTAAAGGAGATGTGCGAGACAAGTGATTTTCTTTTTATGTAGAGAGGAGGTGGTCGAAGCAGATAAGATAGCAATGTTTAAGAAGCATTTAGACAGACATGTAAACAGGCAGAGAATAGAGGAATACAGACCATGTACAGGCAGATTGGATTACTTTAGAATGGCATCATGATCGGCACAGACATGGTGTGCCAAAGGGCCTGTTTCTGTGCTGTACGGTTTTCTGAGTTGCATTATTAGCTAAATTGCACTGAACAACTGGAAGATATGTTTAAACTCCAGAATTGGCTGACTTGTGCATCCTGTTCTGTTGTGGAATGCTGACAACAAATACCACAATGAAACCATGAAGCTTGACCTAGTGGTATTTGCTTGTGCAGTCATAAATTATGTTTCCAGGACCTCGCTTGGGTATTTGTTTTAACTGGACCTAAATTTAATGACCATCCCTCTCATATTTCTCCAAACCAGGGCCCATAAATGCTAAAGTGCTAAAACGAAAAGAGATCTTGGGGGTGAAAGTGGGTGATTTGTTCAAGTGTTCAGGACTTTTTATATTTAATTCTTGTCTAAAATTGTGAACCCAATAGCTAAAAGCTTCAGCATTAATAATTTTTTTGAATTCAGGATAGGAGTTCCTCCAGACCATTTCAGTACTTGAAAGGCATCATTATTTACAAGTTTGTTTGGGGGTGTGTGTGGGGGCATGGGATAACAGTGCAGTTACTTTCTAACTGACTTCTGTCGAGCATTCTGGACCAAATTCCCTGCATCACCCCGTAATCTGAGGGAAAATTCTTTGAATGCAGATTAGGGCTCCCTCCCTTTGGAATGGTGCTCGTTGATGCATTGTAAATTTTGATTGGATAGTCTTTATCATCAATCACCAGCGATTGTACGAAGGCTTCCTGTTTGTAAACTGTGCTTCCTTGTCCCTGCTGACTAACAAATGATTGAAAGAAGCGTGCACAAAGAATAAGCGTCATCATAGCAGTGTGGGGGTTTGTATGAAAATAGTGTCTTTGATAAAGTGTTAACTCCCGACACTTAAGCTAACTAAAGGCTTGGCATTTCTTATTTTATGTAGCTGTCAGAGAGGACTGAAATGCTGCTTTTTTAAATATTGGGATTTGAGATACACTGGAAGAATAGCCAAAATAATTTCAAAAAATCTCTGAAGAGCAATTGTGAATAATACTTTACAGGAGTAAAAACGTCAGTCATTGGGTGGAAAGGACATGTTTGAAGGAGCTATGTAGTAGTACTAATGAGCATAATGGGTTGAATGGTGTCCTATGCTATATGATTATCTGTGTGGATATGCTGATGTTGTGCAGTGGACAAGGTCAAAAGTCACACAACACGGGGTTTTAGTCCAACAGGTTTGTTCAAAACCACAAGCTTTCAATGCACCGCTCCTTCGTTGGGTGATGAAGGAGCAGTGCCCGAAAGTTTGTGATTTCAAGTAAACCTGGTGTTGTGTGACTTCTGACCATATGATTATTTCTGGGTCACATTCCCTTTATTTGCAGTAAATAAGAAGTCACCCAGAAGCCAGTTCACAAAAACACAATTACAATTGGCCTTTTTCTCAAACTCTGTGGACTCTCCCTCTTCTCAACCAGAATTGCCTCCTGCCTCTGGAAGTGTTGAATAAACCACTGTCATACCAAAGTGATTCCATTGGAATATATAAAAGAATTGGGACCTCTTATCAGTTTTATTTAAGTCAATTTCATGTTAGCTTCATAAAACCTTTTCACCAACAGAAAAACTTCTCATTAGCATGTGTCCCGCAGTAAAATCCAGTGGCATTCAGAAGGACAGGTTACCTTGTGTACAGCTTCCCTTGGAGCTGTACACAGTGTGTTTACACTGGTTATTTTTGTCCTTTTTTAAAATAGTGTCATTCATTCCACCATGAGCTCATGTAGTACACTTCTAATTGATATCAGTGAACAATTTGTGATATGATCAGTATTTTTCACACAACATTTTATGTTTCAGGCCACGTCAAAATGAACATCATCAAGGAAAACAAGGATTTGGCCTGTTTCTACACCACAAAACATTCATGGAGGGGAAAGTAAGTGTGCACTATTGGCTATTTCTGAAATTTTTTGTATAAAAAATTCATACAGTTTAAAAATACAGTCACTGTCTGGAGTTACTTTAAATCACTTTGGCTGGTTTCAGTTGGAGTTGAATATTTCATGCTGCTTATGGAGAAAAGTTCAATTTATACAATGCCTTATCACTTCCTCAATTGTTCGAGAGGCCTAATTAAAAATCAGTCACTCTGGACATGCAATTACTGTTACCAAGGTGTTTTATTTTTGGGCTATAAACTGCTTCAGAGCTCAAATGTAACAGGAAAGCTTTTTTTTTCTGCAACTTGTAGTTGGGCAGCATGGTGGCACAGTGGTTAGCACTGCTGTCTCAGCGCCAGGGACCCGGACTCGATTCCACCCTCGGACAACTGTGCAAGCTCCACACAGACATTCTCCCTGTGTCTATGTGGGTTGCCTCCAGGTGCTCGGATATCTTCCCACAGTCAAAAGTTGCAGGTTAGGTGGATTGGCCATGGTAAATTGCCCCGTAGTGTCCAGGAAGGTGCAGGCTAGGTAGGTTAGCTAGGAGAAATGCAGGGTTACAGGGGTAGGGGGTAGGGGGTAGGGGGTAGGGGGAGTGTTCTGGGTGGGATGCTGTTCAGAAAGTTGGTGAGGAATTGATGGGCTGAATGACCTGTTTCCACACTAGGGATTCTATGATCAAATGGAATTATTTGGTGTATGTGTCAGCTCTGTTGCAGTTTGGAATGATGGCGATGGATAATTTGAGAGTGGCACCAGGAGACTGAGTTAAGGGAAAACTGTCTTGCAACAGCCTTCAGGCAGGACTGTAACAAACTACACCAGGACCCAAGAGTACAGTGCATATTGACTTCCAGAACCCTGCTAACAAGATGCGTTTTTCTGAGTGAAAAAACAACAATAACCCAGAGATTCTAGAGAATTCTAAGTCCACTTGATCAGCTACTGAATCAAAGTTCAGAATCAAACCATCATTCTGTAGACAACATTGTGTCAGCATTGCTGAAATCGAAAGATTGTGGAAAAATAACTCTTCACCTGTATTCTTCAGAACTAAAAGTGGTTATGTATCTTGGACTCTAGTTTTATTTTACTTTTTGCATTTCCATAGTAATTGAACTATTCTTACCAGCAGGTAGAGCTTAGATGGTGAAATTGGCAGATATGTGGCAGGTACAGTTTTAATGTGTGCAAGTTTGAGGTGATGCACTTTGAGAAGAACAGCGTGGAAAGGCAGCATAATCTAAGTACTACTAACAAGAAGATATTAGCAGAGAGATATGGTTTATCTTAAGAAATCTTTGAATTTAGTAGGGTGAGCTAATAAGGTGGTTCAGAAAGAGAATGGAAATAGCTTTGTAAACAGGATCGTTGAGTATACAAATCAAGGCATGAGGATCCTTTTACCAATCACCAGTTAAGCTTCAGTTTCAGTAGTTGATAGCACACTTGAGGAAGAATAGAAATTTTTCATTTGAAAAGGTGCAGAGGTGTTTTACCAGGATGGCACTGGTAAGTGACTTGAATTATATGGGGAGAATATGGAAAGCAATTGCAATTTCTCCAGAGCATGGAAGGTGGGAGGAGGGAGAGAGTCTAGAGAAATGTTCAAAGTTTAGGGGCTTTGATAGAACTAGCATGGTCAAACTAAATCCCCTTGTACACTGGTCAAAACTTGCGATCATGGATTTTTAAACTGGCAAAATTTAAGCAAACATCTTTTCTTCAAGTCTGACATATACTACTTGAAAGAGTGGTGAAAACACACCTACAGACAATTTTATAATGAAATTGGGTTGCTGTTGAAGAAGGCTAATTTACAGGGTTAGTGGGGGTAAAGCTGGGGTCTGTGACTAATTTGGGCAGCTCCTTCAAAGAACCAGAACTGGGTTAAATCAAATGAGCCATCATCCTTACTGTGAGATTTTGAAGTGCCCAAATGTTGCTTGGAACCACTTCTCTGGTGTTTTTCACAAAACTGCAAACAGTTTTGTAATTACAGGAAGTATGTATGAGCCTTGTTCAAAATGCAGTGTTAATTGTTGATGTTGTTGGAGACGATGCAGATGTAGACTTGTTGATGGATTTGTTAGAGTGCAGAAAATTTGCATTGTGTTCAGAATTGCAGAAGCACCAAGTTGACCAGAATTTGAGATTTACCTCTCTGTCCACTGTGCCCCCTCTACTAAAAGGAAGGAACTAGTGGCATGGCTATGCATGGCACACTAAAGTTTTTGTGAGTAGTGCATTAATGCTCAAGATTTTGGCTTTCAAGTCGAAAGTACCTAGTTTTATGTGAAACAGGGTTTCAAGTGACTCGGGAGATTACAAATGTCAGCATAGATGACAAACAATGGGACTTTGCTGGTACAAAGATATATTTGCAGACTTTTATGGTCTACAACTCTGAACTGAAGTAATAAACCTGTCCTAGAATTTCGCAGGTGGCATTTTAGGCAAAAAAAAAATTTGTAAGCTACCAGACTGAATCTGAATCTTATATGGGGATAACTTAAATATTTAAAACTTCTAG